TAATAATAATGATGATGATGATGATGATGATGATGATGATGATGATGATGATATCAGATTGTGCCAACCCTTTTCAGGGTTTTCCAGACACAGAATACTCAGAAGTGATTCACCATTCGTGTCGGGATCTAAGCATACAATTTCCCCACACATTCGCCCTTCCTCTGGGGCACTCTGGATGTGCAGCTTGCCCAAGGCTACACAGGCTGGCTTTTCTTCTGTGGTGAATTGTACTTCCAACCTCTAGATCCACAGCCAGATACCTAACGTTTATATGTAAATTAAAATATGGTTATCCTAAGGAAATCTCCAAATATTGTGACACAGCTCTTTGGTCAGAATTTTAAAATACATATCTTGGTAACAATCATTTAGAAGTGCATTGTGGAAGATAAAATTGTTGGGGGACTCTTCCAGATCTAAAAAAAAAACATTACAGACTAATGTGGAAATGGAACATATGTCTGAATGAATTAAAAAAACCCTGAAAACAGACCAGAAACAGGATAATTTTGACAGCAATTCGCTTCACAACCAAAATGATGGTTTTCCATTTCCTAAGCATCTACGTATTTTAGGCTTTCCCCCTTTGGTACCCGCTTCCAACTTTTGGTACTCCACCTCTTTCCTTTTGAAAGAAAAGAATAAAGTCTGGATTCACTCTGAACTCCATTCTTAATGTTACAAATCATTAACTGTATAAAACAACTTACATTATCTTACCCTAATTTTCAGGAACAATCAACCATTTTATGAGTAAATTGTGGCAAATGAATATGCATGCTAAGTCAGGCCTTTTAAAAACAAAGCATCATGATAACTAGAATCCAATTCCCCTACAAGACTGGAAAGACAGTGTTACCCCAGTAAGGGAGAAAGACCTGGTCCTTGTAACTCCTTCTTCCAGATGTAACTTATCCTCCTCTGTGCTTTCCAACCCTAAGCAACAGCTGTTGGAAGACTCTTCCCGAACATCACAAAGCTGTAGCAGCAAAGAGGAAAGCCCTCCCCTTTGAATGGAATTCTGTTCTAAATTCTCAAGTTATTAATTAGCCAGTGTACGGTTGCCTTATTCAAGGTAATGAATTCCCCTTGCATATTACATTTTGAAAGCTGCTTACCCAGCATCTGTGCCATTGCCACAAAGCAAAGCATCATCTGCGTTTTCCAAAGTATAAAAATGATCTGTTTAGTAGGGAGGGAAAAAGGAGAGAGTTTTTAGGATTTCAATCCAACCCTTCATGCCTTATTATACACAGCATTTCTTGGAAAGTCCAGGCACTATTTTCCACTCATCTGGGTAGTCATGAAATTGTACGTGATTGGAAGGGGTTGTAGTTCTCTTGTTAAGCAAAGTGTCTCCTTCTCCCCCCAGGCCAAAACAACAACAACAAACAAACAAACCATACACACAACAACAAGAACTCTAGGTTTTCTAAATAAACAAATAAAAAGGAATAACAGCAGCCTATCACTTAAAGCTTCCTTCAGCAACCATCCAATGGCCCCTTTTGGGCCAGATGGGCAGTATATAAATCAAATAAATGAATAAACAATAAATACATTTAAATGTCAAATATCCAAGGGAATATCTTTGCTTGGACAATTTGAAGGACAACAGGGAAGGAGAAGCCTAGCCTCTCTGCCCCAAAATTCTAGGACCTGGCAGCAGCCAAGGAGAAAGCTCCCTTTTGTGTGTGTCTCCCCCAAACACACCTTAGTAAATGGCAAATCATGTTTCCACCAAAAATGCTTCATGACGGTTATTCATGAATAATAGTAGCTGCAAGTACCAAAACTTGTATTTTAAAAATAAATATATTGTCCCCACAGGGTGGTAGAAAAAATTACAGTATGCACTAAAAAAAGCTTTCCGTGAATCAATTATGCTTCTACTCCTCTTATCTTGGACACCTGTGAAATGTCTGAAAAATCTTAAGAAGTGGGAAGATAAGGTACAAGGAAAACAAGAGAAAGAAAAAGAATGTGAGGGAGGAAAGAGTGTCTGAAATTCTATTGACAATTCAAGCACAAGCATAACTTTCTATCTGTTCCTCCCTGGTACACAAAGTGCCACTGCCACAATTCAGGAGGGTGCATGCATGCACGTATTCATCAAGCCAGTGTATGTGCATGCCCCCAAGAACTGCAGAAGTGGCAGTACCTTTTAGCCATTTTGCATATCAACTGAAGGAGGATTCCAAGCACAATGCCTCACTATTTGCCCAATACACTCTTTCATCTAAAGCTCCTTCACATTTCACCCACATATTAAAAGAGGAGCAGAGTATGCTGCTAGCCCTTCCATGACATCTTATGCTACCCAATCTCCTTGCCTTGGCAGCTGTGTGTATGCTTTCAAGGAGTACAGGCTTCCAACCCAAATAGACTGGGTAGGGCTCCATTTATATAAGTATATATATGAAGGCAGATGGCCATGCTCGACACAGATTTTAAGGGCAGGATAGCTCCCAGGACACAGGGCCCATTCCTGTTCAAGCTATGGAGGTTGCTACTCACCTTCATTTTCAATGTATTTGGTCCAGTTGAATTCTGTTCCATTGTAGTATTCCTGAAAGCGTGAATCTAGATAAGAATTATTATCCAGGGGCCAGAACAAACATTTGTGCTTCAGGTTCCCCATGAAAAGTTGCAGCCCAATGAGCGCAAAGACACTCAGGCAAAAGACGGTCAGGATCATAACATCCGAGAGCTTCTTTACAGACTGAATGAGGGCTCCCACTATGGTCTTTAGGCCTTCAAAGAGAAAAATATGCAACAACAAGACAGAACTCCTGTTTGAGACACTGAAGTATAGTAGATAGAAATTAAAGATTTCATGCAAGCAAGTACTATATTTAAAAGCTGCAAGGAATGCATTGGGGATAGAAGACAAGGTGCTTCAGTCCATGAAATCATAACGTTTGGAAGAAATACTCTTCAAAACAGAAACTGCAAATCAGGTGGATAAAAATCAATGATTTTTAAAAAATGATTTTATTTAAATCATCCATTTTTTGATTTAAATCGATTTGATTTAAATCAAATCCACTCTGATGCAAATGGAAATGAAATATATCGTATGTTAACCATGACTTCAGCAAAGCAAATCCTTTCAAGCCAAAAGATAGTAGTATGTCCTGCAAAAGCAATGCATGCCGTTCCTGATGGGTTTATTGCTTACAAAACATTCAGCTGCCCAAATTACTGGGTTATTTCAATAACCAGTAATGTTTCTCTTGAAATGATGCCTTAAATCTTTTTCATAGTGATGAAAACAGGATTTAACAGCTTAATAGGCAACATGCAAAATCAGTATACTGTCTCATGTAGGAATAGGCTAAATTCAAAGGCTCTCTCTCTCTCTTTAGTTTTGAGGCAAGGAGAAAGAAGCAATTATATCAACAAAAGCAAACACAAACACCAATAAAATGTGGATGGTTTGCATTGAATTTTTTTTTTTTGCTCGATCAGCGACAATAGTTATCCAAAGGCATGTGACAGCAACTTTTGCTGAATTTAAAATTCAGCCTTTTCGATCCCTCTCTCACCTGGAATGACTGATATTGTTTTCAATGCCCGGAGAACTCTGAATGTTCTCAACGCTGAGACATTGCCCAGGTCCACAAACTCTGTCACATATCTGTAATAGGGGAGTTCACACACAAACACAATGACAGGATAAAAAGGAACAGTTGGGAGGTACAAGGGACCTAACATCTTACACCACTTACTTCTTACCTGGGATTACAGAAATAGTTTTCAAAGCTCTCAATACTCTGAAAGTTCGAAGAGCTGAAACATTGCCCAGGTTTACAAATTCTGTTACATATCTGTAGATTCAAACCACAGTTATTCAGAATCGAGGCACAGCTTTTCATGTATTTGATCTCAGTCTTTTTGTCAATTAAACAAGTTACTTGTGTTTGCATTCAGTTGGATCTTCTGCATGAAGACTCAGAAGTAAGTCCCACTATTTCTAGTGAGGCTTCCTGTTAGCACACTATCCATAAGTTAACAAATACTGCCTCCTTAGTTTTTGTATTATCCAAATTTAACAAAGCTAGGTGCTGAGTATGATGATGGCTACATCCCAGAGGCACCAGAGGCCTGCAGATAGTTTACACATCACATTTTACAACTAACCTCTATAATCAAAATAGCTTATAGAATACTTTTCCGCCCTCAAAAACAAAAGCTTTCTCAGGGCATAAAAAAATTATCCCATGGCATATCATATGTCTGCATTAAGGAATGTCTATTAAACTATCATTTGGTGAAGGAATACAATGCCCATTAAAAAACCCAAAATAATACAATCTAAATTTTAGTCAATGGTAAAGATCCAGCAGCGTAACTTCATTTCCAAATCTAGCAGAATTGGATTTGTTCCTGCTGCAGCTCTCTGTAATTAAAGAAAAACAAAAAACAGCTCCAGAAGGTTTCCTACCTCCTACAGAGCAGGGTTTTTTTTTAACATGCATGGAGAGAAATTAGAGGAGAGTAGGGAATCCCAATTCTGGTAGATCCTGAGTTACTTTAAAAAAATCTATTATTAATAGCCGCATTTTTGCAATAATGGTGAACACTGCAGTTACTAATATTTGTTGAAGCTGCAAATCATGAAGGTTAACATCTAAAAATAGCCACTATCCAAAATTCATAGTTTACCCCATTTTACAAATGGCTGAATACTTACGCGAATGAAATTACGAGGAAATCAAGCCAATTCCATGGATCTCGAAGGAAAGTAAAGTTATCTATACAGAAACCTCTTGCAAAAATTTTTATGAGGGACTCAAATGTGTAAATTCCTGTGAAAGTGTATCTGAAGGAGAGAAAAAATCCAAGCTAATTTTTCATTAAATAGGACTTATCATTGACTATAAATATTTATTAATAAGTTTTTCAAAGAAATTCACTCATTCTTTTCTTTTTCTTTTTTCACAATACTAAGAAGAAAACCAGCAAAGGGCTGTTATAAGAATTTGAGGCTCTATTTCTAATACCACTTGTTCTCTTTTTATTATTTTGATGCCATCATTAAAATGAACATATTCCTATTAGAAATGAATGTGGTGGATTAGCAGGGTGTAAAAGGACTGGTATTTGCTACTCTTCATACTCTGTCCACAGGTCCATGGGTAATTTTTTTTTCTACAAATTCCCTCATGTTAAAAAATGATCTATGGTTCTTCCAATCTCACACGTATCTTCAGATTGATTGGGGGGGGGGGGGCTTCCCCAGACTGTACTGGCTTGATTCTCTTGTTCTTTATTTCAGCCTCAGAAGTCTACTCTGGAAAAGAACCATGGATTTTTCTCTGGTTAACTGGCAAATCACAGGTCACATCTCTGAGCTCACACTGCCCCCTCCAGGCTTCTCTTTTCCCCCCAAAAGGGCAAAGTGTGTTGCTTATATACCACCTCTTCGCTCTTAAAGCACTCTCTAAGCGCTTTACAATTTAATAATGCAGGCTACACAATACTTCCCCCCACCCACCCACGCCAGCTAGGTACTCAATTTACAGACCTTGGAAAGATGGAAGACTGAGCGAACCTCGAGCCGGCTACCTAGGATTGAACCTGGGTCATGAGCAGAGTTTTGGTCGCAGTTGTTACACTTTAACCACTGTGCCATGAGGTTCAAGGGGAGGGTTCTCCCCTATGACCTATGGAACTCCCTTACAATTGAAACCCAACTATGACTTATGTAATTCCACCACCAATTAAATATTTCACTTTTAATACTTATGCCTTCTAGGACACAGATTAAAGAGATGTTATTTCTGCTTTGTTCACTAAATGTAAGGTAAACAAGCCTCAACAGATCACACTCTATTTAAGTTATAAGATATTTTCCCTAAAAAAAAAATTCAGAACTATCTAGTTTAAACTTCTCCAGAAAACCCACATAACTGTCTACAATAATTTTAGAAATAAATAATTAAAAAAATAATAGCATGAGACAGTTGCAGGTCCTATACAGCAGTGGTCCCCAACCTTGGGCCTCCACATGTTTTTGGACTACAACTCCCAGAAGCCTTCACCACCACCTCTGCTGGCCAGGATTTCTGGGAGTTGGAAGTCCAAGAACATCTGGAGGACCACTGCTATACAGTATTTAGCATGTTTAAATCATGCCATCGTACGGCCCTGATCTTGTCTGAATTTGGAAGCTAAGAAGTGTCTGGCCTGGTCAGTATTTCAATGGGAGATCACAAGAAACATAACGGATCTCCACAAAGGGATGGGAGATAATCCTGCCTGAATCTCTGGAGGGCCACAACTCCTCAACGCTAGATAGACCAGTGGCTCAGCTCAGTATAATGGAGCTTTCTATGGCCCTATGTGATTTCAGGGGAAAACAAGAACATCCATGCAGTCACTCACCACAATGTACTTACTCTACGGCCTTAGACCAGTCGGGAGGGTCTTTCAAGGTCATGAATACACAGTTTGTTAGAATAGTGCACATAATAAACATGCTGAATAATGTGAGATTAAGTTAAGGAGCATAAGCAACATCTACACAGTAACATCAACTAACAATTCACTCTTATTTATGTATTCTCAACAGCAAGTTTCATCAAACCAAAAGAGCTTAGCCTGAGGCAAATGGGTGTAGAACTGTGGCCTACAGCTATTATGTGTTGCTAATTACATATTCTGAAGCCCGTGCTTTATCCCATTACTGGGATCATCTGCAAATGGAGTTTTAGGCAGGAAACCACCCACTTAGCAGGGGGACTTTTCACTGGTTGCCCTGTATTGGTGCATACCCCAATGCAACCTCTCCTACCCTTCCAGAGGGCCCCAATTCACTGTGTCAGATATTTGGGAGCCACAGGAGATTGCAGGAAAAAAAGGGGGGGTAGATGAATGAAAATGGATTTATCCCCCATTTGGCCAGGAAAAATAGTCTGTCATATCAAAATACCACCAATGGCAGAAGGAGCCTTCCCAACTATAGAAGGATTTTGCTGGATTCCCAACCACAAAAGGTTTACCTCTCTCGAAATTAAACCCATTTAGGTCATTAAAACAATTTGTTTCCATTTAAATTTCAAAACTAAGACCTGAATAGTAAATAAAAATATATATTCCACAATTAGGAAGAGCCAGATGCTATGAATTTAAGGCTACCAATAGTTTCATAAAGGAACTTTTAAACTACAAATTTCTTTAAAAAGGATATGAATGAACCAAAATCTTTATAGAAATTCTTCTAATTATACTGAAAGGACTTAAGAGATACAAGGCAGGTGTGGCACTAAATCTGAAGATGGTCTTCCCTTTATTCAATACTATAAATGTCTAAAAATAGAGAAACACATAAACACATAAAAGTAAGATTACAATGTTCATGAAGATATGCATATGGAAAAGGAGTTTACCTTCGGATTATTTTGAGACCAGTTCAAAGGCAAGAGTAAACAGTGACCAGTGTCCAACTGCTGGTCCCAACTAGAGCAGGTCTACCAAATCTCACTGATTCAGTTGAGATTAGCAATTTGATTTAGCTCTACCATTTCCTATTATAAACAAGTGCCATGGTGACAGCCTATATTACACCTTCCCTTTGTCCTTACTTTATTCAGGAGGAGAGGCAGAGATGGCCCAAAGCCTGGCATAGAGACCTCTACCAAGAAGAGGCAGACTCAAGCTTTAGTCTTCATGAATGCTTACTTTCATATTTGCATAGTAAGGGTCCAAGTCTTCCAAGGGCTCAGACACCATTCCTGGAGGTATGTCACCGTAAATAAAGGGCAAAGGCTTGCCAGCTTCCAAGTCAACGTTTGGTTTTGGCTTCTTTTCATCATTATCCTCGTCCTTTTGCTCCTGGTCACTTTTAGGCCTTTTCTTTTCATGAGCAATCCTCCTCTCAATTGCTTCAAGTGACTCTCGAGTAAACAGGAAGAAACAATCAGGTCCTGGTGGTGCAAGCAACGCTTGTGCCATCTTCTCATTCTGCAAATTTTAATTACTTTTTAATTCTTGGGAAGGAATGACCTGTGGGAAGGGAGGAAAAACCCGAAGGATTTCTTTGAGAGAGAGAAAGAGAGAGAGAGAGAAGTGATGAAACAACAGAACTAAAGAAAAGGAAACAACATCATCAACAACAAAAAGAAATGCTCAACCAGCAAACTGAGCTTTTTATTGGACTATAAATAAGGTTTTCCAAGTGAAATTGGATTTCTAAAGACCACTGAGAGTCAATGGGACATGTGTGCTTAACTTCTAATTAGCTAATTTCAAAATGGTTAAGTGGCCATTTTATTGTACTGGAATAAGATTTAGCCAACTTAGGTACTTGCATGATCTGTCCTCAAGGAAGGGCTTACAATTTATGATACCTGAGCCGTGCAGCTTTGTACTATGTACATGTACTATTGGAAACCAGCGCAGTGCTCCTACACAATATTTGTGTGCAGAATAAAAACTGAAGACTTTAGCTTTTTTTATCTCTCTTTTTTTAAAAAATCAACTCATTGTACAAATAAAAATAGAGAAGACTCTGCTGACCGGCTCCATCAGAATCCCAAGCTGCCATCTAGCGGCAGGTATTTCATCAGGCTGCAGTAGAGATAAAGATGGAAAGCAGAACCATTCCATCCACTCTGCTGAGAAACCAGATCCATCTGCCTCCTCTTCTCTCTGAAGGACTTCCATTAAACCTGGTCAGCACAAAAACTTTGCAACTGAAAAACCAGTGCCTGAATTTGCCCTTTACCACTTTCCCTTATCTTTCTCCTTTCATATCATGTCTTTTAGACTGGAAGCCTATGGATAGAAATTGCCATGTACTGCACAGTGATCTGATACAAACCAATCTCACAGTCTCTCCAGCTTTTGAAGATTTTCAAAAGTAGGGCATGCTCTAAATATCAATCAATCAATCAATTAACCAAACAACCCACCAATCAATGAATGTATGCTCTCTGCCATTAAATCTCAGACTCAAGGATCATGAGTGTACAGAGCATGTTGTGGATGCAAAAAATAAAAATAAAAGAACAGTGTACTTGACAGATAACAACTGTTCAGGAAGGGTAGAATATACCAGATGGGCAGGATATAAATCGAATAAATAAATTTTAAAAATGGCAAATTATGAAAAGTTTTTGAGAGATGAAGTACTGTGTCATGATTATGACTAGTCTTGATATGGACACCGACAAGCTGAAACAAGTCCAAATATGTGTTTCGCTGCCCTTCTGGGGAGGGAAATGGAAGTTGCTCTTCTGAGGCAAATACCAAATCATAACCACTGTGAGGGACAGTAGCTAGAATGACCCCAACTCCCATAACAAAATCCTAATCAGCTCAGTTCTCACATTGCCTAGCTACATGTTAAATACTTTTCACATCATTGTCAACAGTATCTCATCAACCCTACCCCTATGAAGGTTAATATATTTTATTAGCAAATTGCTATTAAATTAATATTTGCTACCTTCACATTGCAATCTTACAGACGTATACCTTGGAATAAGTCCCACTGATTACAGGGAAACTTACTTCTGTGTAAACCCATGTGGCATTGTGCTGCAAAGACATCTTGGTTTAAAATTTCTATGTATGCCACTACTTAAAATGAAAAAAAAAAAACCAAAACTGTGCACTATCATCTACCTCACCTAGATTTTTCTTATCTCAGTCTATGAACATTCTGAACATTATTTTATTTTCTAGCTATTGTTCCAACAATCAAACAGAAAACAAAATAAAGGCAAGACAGATAAAGGGTGGGGGGAAGAAATGCCACCCGTCACAAACCCTTCTCATTCTTGATAGTACAGTATCTCTGCAAACTCTAGGCACACACTCTGACTTTTCAAGGAGCTGTCCATGGTCCTGAATTCAATGTCCTATACAAATAAAGTATTCTTTTCTGGTATTTCTTGGGCAAAGAGAGACAACACACTGAGACTTACATAATCCAGGATTCTGAGACTTACATTAGGTCAGCATCTGCCCACCTTTGCTGAGTGTCACCCACCTTCACCATCCCAGATAGCAGATCACTGCAGAAGTCATCCAGTCCTATGAGTGCCTAGTCATCCACTGCTGTGCAGGAATAAACTTCATGGACACTTCTCTCTGATTCCCTTCTCCACATTTACAGTGGTCTACCTGTCAAAGTAGCATCAAAATGTAAATAATGTCAGTCCAAATGAACAAGAATAACAAAACAACTTGCTTACTAAGGGGCCAGGGGCACTCTACTCTGGACAGAAGGCATATTTGCCCTATGGCCAGTAGAGGACACATTTTCAAAAATGGGTCCCTTGAAGTACAAGTGGTGCCTCGCTTAATGATTACCTTGTTAAACAATGAATCTGCTTGACGATGAGGTTTTTGCAATCATTTTGTGATCGCAAAATGATGTTTCAATGGGCAAAAATCGCTTTACGATGATCGGTTCCCTCCTTCGGGAACCGATTCTTCACATTACGATGATCTGAAAACAGCCGATCGGCAGCTCTCAAAATGGCCACCTGCTGTGCAAAATGGCTCCCCGCTGTTTTCAGGACTTAATTTTTGCAAGACAGGCATCGGAAAATGGCTGCCCTATGGAGGATCTTCGCTGGGCGATTAGGTATTTAGCCCAGTGGAACGCATTAACCGGTTTTTAATGCGTTTCAATAGGTTTTCCCCCCGCTTGATGACAATTTCGCTCTACAGCGATTTCGCTGGAACAGATTAACGTTGTCAAGCGAGGCACCACTGTACAATAAGGAAAAGGCCAGAGTTCTAGCAGATTCTGACGTTGTGCTGCCTAAATGACTCATCATGAGTAAAGTCGGCTTACATAGGACCTTTTCATTTCCTTTGTCCATTCTTATGAGATATCCAGATGCACCATTTCACATAACTTTAGGCTTATGAAGGCTACATGACTCACTATATGAAACAAAATTAACTGTTCCTTTCCCAACCTCACTGTTTACCACATAGGCTGAAACTTGGTAGTAAGTGGTAACTAGATGAAACACACTGAATCAATGGAACTTACAAAGAAGTTGACACATCAAATCCTCACTGATTCAATGGTACTACTCTACTTACAATTTACTGTTGAATTTCAGTCAATAAATTACAAGGAGAAGAAGCGTTTATATTAGCAATAAATATCTAGCTGAACACTGTCTGAATAAAATCTGCCTACTTCCTGAAGTCTGGTGTAGAAACAAATACAAAAGCCACATGAAGTTCACCTTACACAATAATCTCTCTCTGTCTCTTGGCTTTTGGTTTTGTCTCTGCAAGAAGCTGAGGTGTACCTGTATTAGCAAACTGTAAGCAATCAGTGAATTCCATACATGTGCTCATATACAATAGGGAAAACACATTTACATTTTGGGCACCTGGAAATATACACTAGAACAGTAGTTTACACACACACGAAAATATAAAACCATATTCAGATTGCTGCTTCATGCCTGAATACATAACGACAGGAACCATTCAGGGCAGCTATGTCCCTGCAACGTGAATATGCATTACTGTATCTATTCACTTATATGCCTTATATACGTATGTAGTTTTAGAACAGGCAGCCATGTTAGTCTGTTCAAGCGTATAAGGCAAAACTCAAAGGGGCAAAAATGTGGTAGCACCTTGAAGACTGTTATATTTTAATATGAACTTTCATGGACAAGCCCACTTATTCAGACACACGGAGTGTGATATTACCCATCCATCAGGTTATTCTAAGCCTGCTGTCATTCACATAACTTGAAAGTTATTGACTATGTGATTTGACAGTGTTGTTTCTCACAAAATACCCTGTTCCTGGCAAGCAACAGTAAACCAATCTGACAAAGAATTATCAAAACAATCCTCACAAAGTGTGTTCTGTACTTCTTCTTCCCCTCATCTCTTTCAGAACAATTTATAGATACAATGACAAATGGATGGGAGGGTGGAGGTAGAAGAGATGGGGCCACAATTTAAGAACAAATGTCTGAAATACATAAAAGCAGGGCTCTCCATCAGAGCACTAGCTGAATTTAGGATAAGAGATGCTCTAAAGAAAAAGAAAAAAAATCAGTCTCTGTAGTATGAGCTTTACTTGCTGAAGAATATCCCTTCCCTCTTTTTCTTCCCTGTAAATTCCTCTCGGAATGTTATTTTGCAAATAAAGTTAACAATACAGATAACAAAGAAAAACATGTCTGACAATGCATCATGACCACCAAAGAAACACAGAGTGTAATTTACCATATACTGTGGGCTATGTTTAGAATTCTGACAACTAAAAGGAATATGCCAATGGGGAAACACATGGGAGTGTGGGGGGGGGGAAGAAAGGTGAACGCCAATGTGTAAATGGAAATATAATTGCACAAGGTTGGGCATAGCTGAGTGTGGCTTTTCTACAGCAATACTGGCCCTGTCTGGAACTTCCTGTCAAACAGTTTCTGATCAATGATTCTTGAGCTTCCTTGAAATGCTCAGACTGGTTTGTCAATACTCTTCCTTACAGCATGAAAAGTGAATCTTGGAGGAGTCTATGCTCTCAGCATGGCTTTTAACATTTTGGGACATGTATACATAAAAGTTTGGTTGGCCAAGGACAGGTTCCATCTGTTCTACCCTGCCCAAGCACACTATTAGCCAGAGTTCTGCTGGTTTTTGTGTAAACGAACAGAGCCAACTGAAGAGAACCAACGTTTCATATCATCAGGGTGAAACATTACTTATAATCATTAGAGCATCATGTTTATGGTCCCTTACATTTATTTCAAGGCTGGAGCAGAGCCAGGATATTGGGTTCCCATCTTCTTGACAAAGAAATAACCAGCACATTTGGAGCTACTGGAAATTTTAAGTGAACTACAGTGGTGCCAAAGCAACATTTCACACCCAGAAGGACCACCTCATGAAGCAGACATTCATTCCTCACTGATTTGCCAGCAAACCTATATATTTCACCAGTTTCACAAACAAGTTTCTGACTATGTCGAGGTACAACTGAAAGTTCCTGAAGGCACTCCACTAAGAAAAGTATTCTGGGGGTCACAAAGGATCAGGCCACAGGTAAGGACAAGAGATGTAATTGGTGCTTGTTTTGTGTACCTAAATAAAAGAGACAGAAAATGGATGTACTCCCGCTAGTGGCTGAAACTGTTGGTGTAATATGCCGACAACAATGCCAGCGAAATGTACCAGGGACTCGACTTGCTCCACAGGAGCAATTAGAGCAAGTGATCACAAAGGGATGTTTTCCCCAGCTGATCTGATACAGGCTGCACACAGCTCGTTCCAGCTAGCAGCTGTCTCTTTCATATCTCCTAGGACGTGCTCTCGTGTACACAAAGCAGATTTGATCAAGTGCTCTGCAGTGAAGGAGAAATGTTGACATATTCCCTCATGGTGTTTACCTTGCAGCAGGTGGCTCCGGTGTGATTCTCTGGACATACACTAAGAACGCAAGATGCAAATATAGAAGGCCAGGCCTAAGAAAATGGCAGTCCATGATCTAAACTGGGGATAAATGCACTGCCACGTTTCAAAGGTTTTGGCTACACCTATAACTATTATCCACAATGTAAAATCATCTCACTCACCAACAGTTCTCATGCTGTTGTTGGAATCATAAGCACACAAATACTGAATAGAAAATAAGTACCATTGAAGATATTAAAGTGACTCATTTTTCAATAAAGATACTTTCTCTGGGCAATATATCAAATACATCTGCTTTAAGACAGCAGCTTCTATGATTTATCAAAGCTTCGATTGGTTTTAAAAACTCTGTTAAGTCAATTATCATTTAATAAATCCTTCTGAGTATTTTCCCCACTGCATAGGCAACATTTTAAATATATATCTTATTCATTTTACATATATATATAAAATGAATAAGATATATATATAAAATGTGTGTGTGTGTGTGTGTATACACACACACACATACACACATAAAATGTTGTATATAAACATTACGTTGAGCCCATTTTTTCTTCTTCTTTCAAGAAATGCCTTAAATTTAATTTTGTTTCCATACAATAAAATTCTTCTATTGGGTTAACCTTCTACAATTCTTTCAGTCTTTGTTCCCCACTCTCCCTTTTAACCCTTTTCCCCAATGCTCAAGTTGTATTGCAGCCTCTGAAAATCTGTTGCTAAGAAACAGATAAGCAGGACTAGCACATGCTGTCTTTTCTTAAAGGTGCAACACCCCTTTCAAAATATTAGTTTTGTTTCCTTCTGTTCCTTTAAATGGTCACCATTAAGTACATGCCTGAAAATGGATTATAGGGTACCTCTAATAGTACTGCAATCCGTGCCTAGAAAAAACAGGCTGGGATAGGAGGAGGAGGAAAAAGAAATGCTGATCTGAGGTGGAAGTCATGGTGTCTGCACAATACCTTGGGAGTATGGAACAGGACTCAAACCAAGAGAGAAGAGGTGGGTTTAAATGATCATTTCCAGCTGGGGTCTGTTGCTGGCTCCTCAGAATATTTACTCCATCGACCACACCTATAACTTCTGGAGGGTGCAGGATCCTCACTCCAGCTGTTCAACGTGACTTGCAAGCAATCTGAGGCTCTAACTAGAGACATTTATTAACATTTTTGCAAAAGTGTTCCCATCTGTCACAGCACATGATTTTTCCTGAAACTACAATGTTTTGCATTTACTGTGCTTTGCTTTACCATTGACCACTGAAAGATAAAAACAAACTTAATCTTCAACTCTGTTTGCTGAGATTGCTTACCTCTGAAGAAACTACAGGAGGGAAACAGGTTAATCATATGGACCACATATTCCTTTTCATCTAGTTTGATTCATACATTAGTTGCTTGGATGTATTTGTAAAGTATACTAAAATAACAACAAATTATGGAAGGGGTTAAGGATTTATACATGAAAGGGCAAAAAATGAACCATAACCTGTTCTGAAATGAACAGGATGTGGTTTAGAAATCAGAAGTAGTATGTCTGAAATGCATTTTAGTAAGCACGCATCTATTTCCTTAAAAGATTGTATTCAGATAGTTAAGATGTAGCCCCATGTAGAGGAACAATATTGCTGCTTAGCTTTTACAATGAATCCTTGGCAAAAAGAAGCACTCGAAGAAGGAGAGATTATTAATGGCACTTTATAGAAACACTGGAGAAGA